TATCTATTCTAGTTTTACTGTAAACTGCCCAGAGTCACTCCACAGTGAGATGGGCGGTGACAAATTTGAAAAATAAATAAATAAACAAACAAACAAACAAACAATCCAAGATGATCTAGCACCCACAGTTAGTCAATGTATTTATTCACCACTGAGAATGAAAATGCAACAAGATATTCTCCCCCTCCTGACAATAAAAATGAAATTATAATAAATAAAATAAATAACAATGTGTTTCCCTTTCAGTGATCTGCTTGAGATGACTCAGCCTAATGGCAGAGTCAGACTAACACATCTGGCATCATCTTTCATTGTAATGGTAAGAGAAAAAATTATGAGTAAGCTATCTAAACTGACTTGGAGAATTTTTATCCACATCACCGGATTTCAAAATTACTGTTATTTATTGTAATTTGGCTATCAGAACATACATTCAAAATTGTCAGGAGAAAAAAATAAATGCCTGAAATGCTAAAAATTACCTTTATGGCCCATAGGACCAGTTGGACCCTGAAAACCTTGAGCCCCAGGCTCCCCAGGGGCACCAGGCGGTCCTTGCAGACCAGGTGTCCCTACTGGACCTTAACAACGAGAAAAAAAGGGATCAGTGTCATATCCCTACTACAAGAAATTTCCAATGTGAAACTCAAATCTAATATATGCTAAATCAATAATTTCAAACATACCTTTTGAGCCTTTTCTTCCTTGGTTTCCTGAAATACCTTTGGTTCCCTGTTTACCACGTGGGCCAGGAGTGCCAGGTGGGCCCAAAGTACCACAATCCCCTGGATCTCCTTTAATAAGAATAGTTTTTCCTGGAGGGCCAGGTTTACCTGGAAGACCTGAAATAAAAATTAAAACAATTGAAAACAAAACAGACTTCAGAAATAAGTGTCTGCAGACTTTCCCTTTAGTAATTTTAAAGGTCACTGTGGCTTCTAATTTGTAAGGTAGACAACTAGCTTTCCATTCTTGTTTGGCTTAATTATAAGTAAGAAGCTGCCTTATACCAGTCAAACATAATTCAGTGTAGTCTACACACTGATAGCAGGTTTGGGGTTTTAATTAGGGAACTTTCCAGCCATTGATGGAATTGTCAGAGATCGCACCTGAAATTTCTGCATACGAATCATGTTCCTTTTCACTAAACTGTATTTTCAATCTGAATTTTTAGTTCTTCCAATAACATTTAAGAGAGGTTAGGGTATTGTGTGTGTGTGTGTACACACACAAACACACAAATATTAATACACACAACTCAAAATCTTATAAAAGTCAAATATAAATTACATAATACCAATAGTGAAGCATTTCACTATTGTGAAAGTAACAATCCAGTGCTCACTTCAAAAATTCATACCAATAATGCAGGAATTTGAATTATCTTTTTTTATATAAGTTGTACACATTTTTTATTTTCATGCAAATTCAATAAATTTTGTTAATTTAGCTATTGAGACAATGCACCGCCTTTTTTCTCTTTGTCATTCTTTAAAGAGGTTGTACTGGCTTGCCTCCATTAGTAGCTATGGTTAATTTTGCAGCTGTTAAAGATGCCCTATCAGGTTTTGCATGTTCCTCTATTATAAATCTCTTAAGTTGTCCAAGCAAGATGATCAGAGAGCTCAAAATAAAATATCCAGTCACTCTGTTCAAATATGCTGTAAGTCCCCTGCCCCTAAATAATTGTTTTTATTTATTTTCCATATGTGATTGAAGTTAATAATTTCCCACATTTCTAGCAGGCACATAGGTACATATTTTCTGTGATACAAACCAACATATTTTCCTTTGAACAAACACATGGGAAGATTTTAAATCAATCACAAAGAGCAGTTATCTACTGATTTTTAGAAATATGAAATGTGTGGCTAACGTTTCCCATTTTAACTTAAAATTATTTCCCTTGTCCCTATACACTTCAATTGTCTGATAACTATAATATAAGAATTTCTTAGTTTTACTTCTTAACCTAATATATAATATTACTTCTTGTCCAACATAGATAGATCTTTTCTTGCTTACATTTCTTGTTCTCGCGTGTTTGCCAAAAAAGCCTGTGGCACTGAAAATATTGAAATTTTCTTATCACTATTTTGTTTCTTTGATTTGCCAAAAATATTAATTTTAAATATCACAACAGTAGATGTCATCATCCCCAACCAGATGAAAATATGGAATTACATTTACAGGATTGCTGTAAAAAGTTTTGGAAGACTCCTTTATGCCTACAGGGCATACTATTCTGTTCAGATTATCATACATATCTTTAAAGTTCTTTTGATATGCCCAAGACAAATCTTGCTGGGTAATCAGTTTTGTTATTCTAACTAAATGCAAGCAAGCAATTCATCTGTAACATTTTTTAAAGGCTGCCCTTGCCCCAAAGCTTTTCAGTAGCTGCACAACAAAAACCTAGTAAAAGACGATTTTTTTTTTTTTTAGATTCTCTAAGAGGAGGGTCCTTTTCTACTTCCAGTATGGATTTAAAAACAAACAAACAAAAAAAGTTCCATAACAGCATTTCTGGAAGAAGTCAAAAGATTTTAAGTGGTTCAATCAACTCTTGCAATTCTGCTATTCAAATATTGTTTTAAAAGTACCTCTAATACCATCTGAGCCAGCTGGACCTTGGTCTCCTGGAAAGCCACAAAGTGTATTTTCAGAAGGCTGACCCATAGAGCCTGCAGGCCCAGAGATACCTGGCTTACCTGCAAGGAAGGTGGAAGTGAGATAGGTGGTGACAAATTTGAAATATAAATAAATAAAATAAAGGAAAAAAAGAGTAGAGATAAAATATTAATATTGGCCATGTTTTATATACTTCCTTTCTCCTATCACATTTACTTAAGAAAAGTTTCCTTATATTGCACATCTGTTGTTTTAATCATTATGCGAAAAGTGATTGCATGAGAATGCAATAAATTATCACTGTAGCTATTGAAAGAATCAAAACATTGTTTATCAACTGGGTGTGGAGCTTTAATGCATTTGAATTAATTTACATTAGTCATTTACTTAGAAGCAGAAGGCTCTGATCCTGGAATGGAAACACATATTGGAAATCAGACTGTTGCCCTTCTTAACAGTGTGAAAAGGAATGGTGTGAAATGATGCAATATATAAGGACAATAAAGTCATTGATTATAGAAC